TATATATATTACTCTCATTAAAATTCATTATAATATGAAAAGAAGAGTAAAGCTGACAATAATGCACATATCACATCAGATGCATCATTCGACCAAATGCTGGAATTTGCCACAAGATCTTTAGAGTTGTATAGATACATGTGTGTAATAAATAATATTATAGAGGTGATAACAGAGAGTTATACACACAGAAAAAGAAGAGACAAGGACGAGAAACGTTTTTGTTTTAATAAGAGTTTTACGGCACTTGCAACACAAATCTGTCTTGTAAGTACTAAAAATGTAGATATAGAGGTGACACTGGAGTTATACGAATACAAAGAAGAGATAAGAACGATAGATGTTTGTTGTAATAAGAGTTTTACGGCACTTGCAACACCAATAGTTCATGTAAGTACCGAAAATATAGAGGTAACGCTAGAACGTTATATGAATAGAAAGAAAAGAATAGATAAGGACGATAAATGTGTTTGTTTTAGTGAGAGTTTTTATGGCACTTGCTATACAATTAGGTTGTATAAGTGCCGAAGATTAGAAGTGTTACAAGAGAGTAAAAAAACATTAAAAGATGGAGAAGAGATATGGACGATCATATTAATACATTATTTTTTATTGGAAAGAAGGAACAAAACCAAGGTGGTTATATATTGTTGTAAACCACACCGAAGCACCCGCCAGCCATCCACTTGTTTTAGATTGATGGACTTGTAGACAGTGTCATTATAATTTAGAAAACATTACTTTTAAACAAAAAAGGGGAGGGAGGGGGTGTTATGGTGTGTTTCTTTGTACAGGTGCTTTTTCTGAGACATGTTGGGGGAGGGGGGGGTGGCTCTCTTGGCTTAGAGGTTAAGGTGTTTACCTCCCATTCAAAGGTCCCAAGTTCGAATCAGGGTAGCGACCGAAACATTTTCTTCTTTAAAATTGTCTCTTTTCACACTCTTTCCTGCTCTCTAGCCATGTTCTGTCGTCTGCTTTCGTCTCCACTTTCTGCCCCCACCCCTTCACCTCCTTTGCCCCCTCCTCTGGGCTCATGACTCTTTCTGCAGCCTTTCTACTGCTACTCCTTGGCTCCTTCTTACAGCTGTCTTTCTGCCACACCCCTGATCTTCTGGTAGGAAAGATCTACACATAGCCTTTTCGGGCGAGGGCGAAAAATCTTGGAGGATCCGTGTGCAAGTTGCACACGTTAAAGATCCCTTGGTGGTCTAAAATCTATAAGAGTAGGCTTCGTCTGCCACCCGGGCGAAATTCAAAATGTCCTACCCTCTGGAAAAATGTAATGTGTCCCGCGCGCTCGTATGACCTTATGCAGTTGCGAGCGCCGTAAAACACTTACCTATTTTTTAATTTTTTTTTGACATGTGGCCATTAGAGTAGGGTCGACTGTAAAATCAACTGAGAGTGAACTCAAACTTCAAAATTTAAAAAACACTTTGTATATATTTCGAATGTCTTTCGCGCCTTTTTTTTTTAAACGGTATCTTCTGGAGACTGAGTTGACATTCGGTTTGACAGTTCGCTACCATAGATTTACTAAGTTCTATCTGACATTTTTGGCCGGGTTTTTTTTGTTGTTGTTGGGTTTTGTTTTGGTTTTGTTTTGTTTTTGTTTTCTTTTGGTTTACTGAGACCGTGAAGTTAGAAATCAAATGTTCTATCTGCTCAATCAAAATCGCAATTATTCGATTCGGTGTCGTCATCAAGATATTTAAAGTATTGCATTCGAAAAAGCTTGACATTGTGAAAGTGAAACTCAACATTTTTTTATGTCAAGTTTCTCAAAACTAGGTATTGAGCAGATCGAACTTTGTGATTCTAGGGTAGCGAATTGTTAAAGTGCAAGTGCATCTATTTTTTAAATAAAAAGTTATTCTTGACTCCTGTCTCTTTTTCTACTATCTATCAATTTTAATAAGCCTTTTACTTATGAACTTGACCCTACATCTATTTATCATAGCGTCTGATCAGTGCCTGTTTGTATTATTGCTAGAAGTATTACTACTACAACTGATCATGTTATAATATTTGTTTTTCAAAGAAACTGCCTCACTGCTGCCTTGTTTTTCCGACGTGCCTTTATCTGGAGGAGTTCGAAGAACTTGTTACATGTATAGTTTTTCGTTAGAGATTTACGGCACTTGCAACCCAAAAGGTCATAGATGTGTTACAAAAGAGTAACATACACAAAAAAGAAGGAGGAGAGATAAGGACGATAGATGTTTGATGTGAAAGAAGGAGCAAGCCACTCCATAGCACCCACTATGACCACTCACCAAAAGACTTGACCTGTGGTGCGAGTGGGGTATGTATGTACTACGATGGCGTTGAAACATAATAATAAAATGATGGTGTTACGCACGATCTGCGCCATGGGTGTACTATACATGATATACCGTACGGTTACATGTATGTTGTTTTTGGAGGCTTTTTTAGGGATTAGTACTTTTTAACAGCTTATCGGCGATATAAACATATGTACACACACGCACGCACGCAAATACACACACACATACTAACACATATTCACACACTCGCACACGCACGCACTTGCACACGGAGGCACACACACACACACACACACACACA